ATTGTTACATCAATTATACGAACATGTTTTTCATAATGTCAAATTAATATAGGTCCTGATGATGACCTTAAAATAGAAAGAAAGCTTGGCAGTAGCATCTAAATTTTCTTTCTTCTTCAAGACTATACCTTGATCCAGAGTGTTCGTAACTTACAAATTTATTTAATTTTAATTTATAAATTAATTATAAGTAAATTTTATAATTATATAATGATATAACATTATATACATAAAATACCTACGTAAATGTAATGTTCTCATAATTTCTGAGCAGATGCGCATCTTCAGCTGTAATTCTCGAGTGGGTTTAAGGCTGGCACCGAAGTGCCTTGTTGCTTAACCCAAACACTTCTTTTGATTAATTTTCTTCCTTTTTTCTATAATGTGTACAATTATTAATACAGCTATGATTTTCTGTGCCGACGTCATCCCGACTGAATGGGCTGTAGAGTCTTCAGAGTTGAAAATTGAAGGAGAGTATCGATCGAAACTCTCGAGAGCAGGGTCGGCAAAATTGAACTCTCAAATGGACATACGTCTGAGAGTTGCTATCGAGAGTTCTCGCGCGATTTACTCCCAAGTGGACAGGTTCCTGGTTTTTATGTAAGACATGGAATTCCGCACGTGTTGACCCCCCCCCCGCGCAACCGTTGGTGTTAAATGTGTTATTGTGATTGTACGGGATGCATGTGAAAGACCTAAAAACATCGAAACATCTCAGATCATGCTAGTGTCGAGGTTCTAGTTATGAAATATGCATTTATGTAAGATATGGAATTCCGCCCACTTTGTTTAACCCTCTTTCCAGTTAGGGTATCCAACCGTTGCTTTATTTTGAAAACGTTATTGTGCTATTAAAATCGCTATCGATTTGCCAAAGTGAAGACTGAACTGTAGCTTACCATCCGTACGCGGAGGCATTGTAGCCTGAATCGCCTAAGAGGTTTCACAGGAACGGAAAGAGGGTGTAGATCCTTATTAATATATAATGTTAGAATGAGGTGATAATTTGGCATGGAATTTAAGATTTCGTAACGATATTGGGAATAAACTTTACGTCCGTAAGTTCGTACAGGTACTAACAGTGTTGTACAGTATCTTTCTAAAAATCCTGTAACCTTGCTTTAGAACGGCTACGTTCCATCTTTTGGAGGGATTCCAGGATTAACGTAAAATAGTCTGTCTTGGTACAATTATAAGTAGCGGGCGTGCTTTGTTGTGGGAAAAGTTAGTATTTTCTGTTTAAGCTGAACACTATATGGTACGATTTGATTCACTAATCTTGATCTTCAAAGCAAGAAGGTAAGTTGATTGTAGAGCAGGTTGGAGTGAGTTTTGGAAACCTAGAGGGTAGTGTCATTGGTAAAAGGTTAGATGTCATGGAGTCAGCAGTGTAGAGTAGTATCAGGATAATTGCAAGATATAAAGCAACCTACATAAAAGTGACGATCGGATAAGGAGGATTTCGAAATGATAGGAAGGAAGTATTTTCTTACATGTTCCCAACAGGCTCAGGTACCAAATTTTTGGGAGTTGCCACGGCACATACTCGGACAGTACTGCTTGAAGAGTGGTCCCCACAGCGCGATGTGGATGATGTATCGAAGCTGGTGGTTAGGGATGGCATTGAGGGGTGTTGTGGTTTGTAGTTGGATGCTTCTAGTGTTGGTTTTCAGGGATAGTGTAGTTGTTCTGGCAGTAGGAAATACGGATGATCCGTTGGTTTTTTGAGCTTGTAGGTCATACGGATGACATAATTTCTGAAGGATTGGAAAATAAGCTGTTCTAACGGTTCTAGGGTTGTATTGTTTGGCAGTTGCTAGCATGTAGGTGTCTTAATGGAAATCGCTTGATTTTAATTTTATCCTTCTTTGTCGTCCTTTTTTGATACTTATTTTTGCAATATAACGTCTTTCTTCCTTCCCGATTATTCTGTGAACACTTTATTCTATGATGTATTCTGTATATATCTAATATTCCATTATCTGTTATAAACAACGAACAAACAAGTGATGAGTAAAGCTAAGTGTTAACTTAAAGAGAACGAAATAGCAAACTGCCACACCGGTTAACAAACCCCAACATAACACACATAGACCACAAAAATGCCTCTAATTCTACACTTTTTACACGATTAGCACCATTTGCATGAACATCCACAGTCCTCACTGAAGCTATATACCCTGACCATTCTTTGAAAACTGTTTGGATTGTTTTGAATTTCAGCATAGTAAAAATTCTGTATTGCATTAATGCCATTTCTAGACGACAGATTTATTTAAACTTTAGCGTTTATACACATTGATCATTAATATTGATTTCCTTTATGTTAGCATATTTTCTATTATAAACAACTTTGTATTCGCCCTATTCAATAAAGTTTTCACTCTGGGGTGGATTGAATTTTGCCCGAAATAGGTCTTTCTGAACCGTTTGTTTTCTCCGATTAGTGGGGGTTTACGTATTGTCGCAAACAATTAAATCCGGAAATTAAGTTTTTCCTTATTGCTTTTCTCCCAACGTCAGAATAGGAAATCCAATTTGCCCCCATCGCGATAAATGGAAAATCCCGAGTGGCGTTTTAAGTTCGCATTTGAGATGATGAAAAGGTCCAACTGATTTATTCAGGCTGTCAAATCTGTAATCCGCATCGATTAGCCTATTTGTTTCATACCGGCCCTAGTGACGCTTGCGCAATGTCATTTCCAAAATTTGGAAGTATTGTAATTATAGGTGATGTTTGAATAGATTTTTGAACAACCTGAATAGAGCAATATGGGATAAACTAAGTTTGATTGTGAAAACAGCTAGCCGACTTCCTTTTCAACACCTAAATTTAATATAATAAAAACTAATAAATATTTTATTTTGAATCATATATTGCCAAACTCCACGGGACTGTCTATCATTGTTCTTTCTATCTTGGAAGCTCCTTTGAGCATGTTAATTAATTATGCCGGTTGATTCCAAAACAAAAAGCGTTTTCACGATCTGGCTTATCAACTGCATTGCGGCGTTGTCAGTTATCAGCATGATGATAAGCAGGAAACTGGCCGAAGCCACGGCTAATTGTACAATTACAAAAATGCTTGTTAATTTTAAACATTATTTCTTGTCAATATGAAAAACACCATTGAAAAATTATGTTTTGATTGAAAGTCTCCTCGTCTTATTATACCTTTTGAATATACGTGTTGTACTTTTTGAAACCGTGCACCAAGTACGTTCCTTCCTCAGTTTTTATTTTATGTTTGATAACTTTTGTAAACTTTTTAGGCTCATTAATAACGTTCTGATTTTTTCTTCAGAAGTGCACCTCTGTTCTTTCTTTCACATTGTTCTATGCTGTAACAATATTGATTATTAAAATTATCTTTGACGTAGATTCTACTAAATCGTGTTATATAAATCAATACTTGCGTCTTGCGGTATTTTACAACAATTCAGTCACAATCTCGAACTAGTTTACTACAAACTTTGCATCGTTGTTTTGCACACACAATACCCCCCTCCCAGTATTGTCACAAAATATACTATTATGTTAATTACGACTGAGAGTTCAGATGCAATAAACGATAATTAGTCTACTTCGACTTAATTTAAAAAAAAATCATGTAACCTAATCCGTCCCTAACCATAGCCGATGACGCTAAAGGTCGCAGAAATCTTTAATGGCAGAAAACAGCAGCGTGTTGGTAACCGGTAATTTAGGACTTTGCTAAAACCTTGCCTAACACTAATTATCCGTCTAATCTAACTTAACCTAACCTGGCCCTAACCCTCTCTGACCTAACCTAATCTGTCCGTTAAATCGCCTAACCTAACCCTAATCCGAACCCTAACTCTAATTCTAATCCCAACCCCGATCCTGACCCTAACCCTAATAGTAATCCTAATCGTAAATCTGCTTAACCTGACTCGGACCCTGACCCTAACCCTACCTCTAACTCTAACTCTGCCTAACGTAACCCATCCCTTAATTGGAACTTTTCCTAATTTTACATTGTAGATTTCTCCGCGAGGTAAAATGATAGGTAACTACCAAATTAAACGTTCATCACCCCTAGACCTTACGGAGAAATCTCATAATTTAACAGCTAGCCAGGCTAAGCTATTGTTAATACAAAAAACCCCACAATTTTACAAAACGAATGCTAACATATGGTTCAACAAACTGCAAACAAACCGTTGGAAGGTTCTTCCATCGTGCTTGATCGCCAATGTTCTCTGGAGGAGTCAATTAACTTAAACTCCCCGAAATGTATATATATACAATACATAAAAATGATGCTAAAACTGTCAAGCAACTCTTCTCAAGATTGCAATCAAACAAACACAAACGAAATGTGCAACTAAACAAATGCCAACTAAACCTAACTAAATGGCTGTAATCCATGCGTTCGACGAGTTGAGATAACCCATTAATTACTCATAGAATAAAATTGTTTGGTTTATACATTTTTATTTATTTAAATTAGTCCTTGATTTAAAACAAAAATTAAAATAGTTAAAAAAGGGTAGTTGGCCGTTTCCAATCAATTTGGTCTGCATAAAATCGATGTTTTGGTGTATCAGACGCGTTTTATCTTCTTGCCACCTTCAGTGATGTGTCCCTAATGTAAGAGATTTATCATTAATGTGATGTGCATATAACAGCATGTGAATTGTTTTGAAAACACTGAAGATAATGGATTTGATAAGTTAGAACCGATTTGGCTTCTCGCCAGGTTAGGGATATAAGCAGTGCAAGGCACCAAAACAAACAGACCTGTGGAGATGGGTAAAATGCCGAAACGCGTCTAACAGAACACAATGAGGATATGCCACAAAATGATCAGAAATTAAAAAATAAATACATACTTACTTAGCTAAGTTGGGTTTTGGTTGATTGGTACTGAAAAGTTCTCTCCTCCAGGATTTTTCATTCTCTTCCTTCAGAAGTAGTCTATTCTTCCAATCGTACCGTTTGTATATTGATTGTGCTTTTATTTTTGTTTCAGATCTTTATACTGAATGCTTGTGATGCAGCATTCTGCCACAGCTTATTATAGGCCCCCTCATCCGACTTCTCATCGACCTCCACGCCCACTTCTGCCCAACCAACCCTACACAAATGTGAGTCGAGTTTTAATTGTAGTTTATTTCTCACACTTGTTTTCAGCGTGCTAGCACTTTATTTTTGTAAAAAATGTATTTCTCTTCTCCGCTTTTTCTTCACCGTGCACTGTTCGGACTTATCAGTAACAAAAACGCCATAACTTTGACAACAAATTGCCTAACTTCAAAACAACTGGCTTCGACATTGCTTTATAGGCTCTTAAGTATAGAACGTTTCTTGTTTTATATCCACGAAGATTTATTATCGCCTAATTTATTTGTTGTTATAAATATTTTTCTTAGTCTTAAACCTTTGCTATAACAAGTTAGCGTTTCTACTTAGTATATTACGGTTCATTCAGGCTATAATTTTATTATATTGTCCCATATATACATATGTAGAGCTTGAGTTTCATTAAACACCAACATGTGTTTAATTAAATGAAAATGTATGTTTGTAATAAAATTTTTTCGGAATTTAACCCTTTTCGCTGTACTGGCTCTTGAAAAAGTTAGTACTGTTATGAAGTAGGTTCGCTAGGGCAAGAAGATGAAACTGCACCATTGACGATGACCAAATCATGACATGACATATCACGCGAGCTCATCGACATAAACAACAAACCAGTCGCCTAAATTGACCCCATGTTTTATCAGCAATGTACACGATCTATTTATAGACAGATAAGGAACAATAATTTACTATAAAGTTTAGGGTAGTTTTCGTTTAAAACTCTCTTCAAAACTCCCATTAACGTTTGCAGAGGAAATCGTAGAATAGATTCACGTAGGTGAACCACAGTTTCGATGCATTCAATGACTGTGAGGTCAAAGGAGGCAGTTCAGGAAGATTTGGAAGAATGGCCACTTGGGGTTAGTTTGTTTGTACTAAAATGTTCAATATTCTAAAAAGGTTAAATATGGAGACTTCAGCGTCTGTCTGGTGCCAGAAGGGCCTTACAAAACCACTGAAAACCACCATGGGCTTCAAGCAAGGAGGTCTTTTAAGCTCAATACTGTTCTCATTATTCTTTATCGACCAGGTGGTGTCAAAATAGACGTAGTGATCAGGCAGCACATGCAGATAACCTAGTCGTACTTGACGTCGGACAGACTCATTTCACAAAAAATTACAAATTCCTTAGAGAATTATTGCGAAGTATGGTAGGCAGATTAGCAAGAAAAACGACAAATATAAAAGTAGTGAATCTAAGCATTACAGGTCATGATTACATGCCTCATCCCTCCTGTCAACCTATTGTCCTCTACTTCCCGCTAAAACCGCTGTTGAACCCTGTACGACTGGAAGAATGAATAATGTTGACCCCGGAAGTCGGCTAAAGTCCATTCAAAATTTATAAGCTTTTACGATTACCTTGAATTTTCCTATTGAAAACAGCTAACAGCAGTTGGAGCCCATTGTATATCATTGTATCAGAACAATAAATACAGGTTTGTTGGATTAAACCACTCATCATCATCATAATCAATATTTGAATAGACAATTTAATTAGATGAGATTTACCAACATTTTAACAATTAGTTTTATAAAAATAACGACCAATATAACTTTTATAACGAGCATTGCATGTACATGCTACTTTAAACTTTGTTATAAATACCATATAAATTTTTAATAAAACTAAAGTCTTTTTAATCAATACTTGAACGCGTTTTTGAGTTTCGCTATCTGGGGTATAAACAGGGTGAGGCACTTACTCAAACACACCTCTGGGTCATAGAAGACCACAGAAGGAATTCTTAAGAGTATAATTTATAATTTTTTTCGTTTCTATCTGGTACTCCAGCACATCCAATATTGTTTTAATTGTGTAATTGTTTAATTATTAATTTTTAATTAAATTGTCTGATGTATCCCGCAAATATTCTTGTTAAAATATTTTTATTGGAAATCTTCCACCTCCACATTTGATACTTCTATGTATTTTGTTTGTCGTAACTAGTTCTTCTTATCATTATGACCGAAGATCAAGTGAACGGAAACATTAGTTATTATTTACTAAACATTGGTTAACAGGATATTTGAGTTCAACATTGCAGTACTTCATAGCAGAATCACTAATAGAAGGAAATTTGCCAGTAATTTTTTGATTGGTCACCGATTTTAAGATATTATTGTGAAAAAGGCATAAATGTTCGTTTTAAAAATAATTCTACGGATAAATAAGCTACGGATATAAAGCAGTAGAACAGGTACCATGAATGTGTCTCAGAAGTGTCCTCTCAATTGCTTAAATTAAAAATGATAGATCGAGAATAAGATATTCAGTGACTAATGTTAGTTTTAAAAAATTCTAAGGATAAATAAAGTTGGATCCATCAGTCAAGATTTATTGATATCTCCTTTTGTTCTTCGAAAATGGTAGCGATTTTAAGTCACTATTGTGACAGAAATTACTGACCTTGCCCAGAGAGCCGGTTTTAGGTCAAATCTAAGGGGAAATGAGCCAAGAAAGTAAATTTGGATCAAGTCGTGATTTCTTTATAGGTACTGTTGAATGTAGAACAAGCACCACTATAATAGATGTCTCAGGAGTTTTAAGTGGAATCAACCCTAAAGTAGTCACAACAAACGAATTATACTCTTAGATTGGTCCGACTCGTATATGTATATGCCACGTTGTTGGTTCTGGTTAGAATCCTCAGACTCGCAATGTGCCTAGAAAAAAGTTGGATTCATGAGCCTATGATTCTTGTAGGTGGTGTTTATCCAAAAACAAACACCATAATAGTCGTTGGATTCATCAACCTAAGATTTCGTGAACAAACACCACAATAGCCATTAAAACAGGCACGACAAAAATTCCAGTTGTTTCAGACTTTTTCACATTAGCTAAATTTAAAATGATAGATCGATGTGACAAAATTGGGCTGTTTTAGGACTTTTTAAGAAGAAAAGTTGTTCTTCCAGTAGCCCGTGGTTTCGTGATAATTGCTGATGATCTTAGAACAAGCACCATAAAAATTCCCTTTGTCTTAAAGCTTTTCACAACGGCTCATATTAAAAAATGATAAATCGAACCAACCAAATCTAGCGATTTTAAGATACTGTGAAAAAAATACACTGATGCTCTTTTAGCCTAGAGGATTTAAATTGACTGGCCCTAAAAAAGTCAACCCTCATAAATACCCTTGACTGTATCCGACTCGTATTAACTTAACTGCCGTCCTCGGTTCGAATCCTGCACACTGTTTGGAATTTTATGTGAGAATAATGTGGAAAAAAGTATTCTGAATTACTTTACTTTTTACTCAATATTCTTAAAAGTGATTAAAAAAAAAAAAATCGAATGTTCCGTTAAACCGATCTTAGCTCGAAACGAGACGCGGGGTTGATGAAGTACCGCGAAGCATCCTTAAAGATCGACCGGTCAGCCAACACACACGTTGCATCATCACAAGTACAAATATATTTAATCTTTATATTTATTTAATCTTTATTGCCAATATTTTTTCTACACATTTAATACTTATGTATATTTATTTTGTACATTGATCTTCTTATCTTCATAAGCAATGATCAAGTACGAAGAAGAGCTTCACGATAATACGTTTTTGTTCAACACTGAAGTAGAGAAAAACTTGGTGGTGTTGGTTTTTGATTGCCTTTTCCGCACTCTTAAGGCAAAACCTGGATATTCAAATAATTTTTATCAAAAAGGTTTGCAGGTCATTTTTCAAAACTTCCGCGTTGTGATCCAGTTTCTACCCCGGTGTTTGTAATCAAATTTTTTTTACGTCAACCAAAAAAAAGGTAAGACGAGAATGAAATTGGATAAATTAAAATCACCGTATTTTAATGGAAGTTAGTGATAAGAGTTGAAAATAGCCTTTGGCGAGATTTTGGGCGGAGGCGGCTGGGTTTGGGGTGTGGTGTGCCGTGGTGGGGTGGGGCGTGGCACTCAAATATTGATCCCTCTCCCTCAATGGAACATATGCCTCTCTCACTCTCCCTCTCTCACCCTCCCACCCTCTCTTCTCGCTCTGCGGCCTCCGCCTTTCCCTCTTTCGCACCCTCCGCTCCAACGGATCCGTCGTACTCTCCTCAACCACCTCCTCCACCTCCACCTCCCTCTCGCCTCCCAATAACGCATTAGACACTTTTAATTATACCCCGTCCACTTGGAATCCTCAACGCCTGGGCAAAATTTCAAAAACTCATTAATTCTGACGGTTTCGGATTAAAGAAAAAATGGAAAAGGGCCGATGACGGCCATTTGATTTTCGACGGCAACTTTTCTCGACTTCTAACTTACCCCAAAACTTCCTTAAGCCGTTGACAAAATATTTTCTTTTCATATCACACCATTCAAAATACACTGAACCTTAGAAAAACTGTTGAATGAACTTAAATTACTAAACAAAAATTAATTTAAATTGTTAATTAAGAAAGGTATAAAAAACCTATCATGGGTTTCTATACACCCTTGATAACTTTGATAACTTTGCCTTTGTGTTTTATGAAAGGGTTTAACTATAAGTTGTAGTTAAATCCTACAGTCAATCTGGTCCGCCTAATCTCGCGTTTCATTTCGATGTTTCTAATGTTTTAGTATGATCTAAGACGATCAAACTTCATCTATTGTTTTGGTCTAAAATCCATTTGGTCTATTAAAACCATTCATTTATGGTTTTATTTTTCCTAGTAACAACATTAATTTGTGACAAATTTTTACATATTTTTGTAGTTAAAAAATGTAGTTTTTCCTCTTGGATATTTTTTTTTAGCAAATTTTCAAGGCCATTTAGCTTAGGCCAAAAGTTTGCTGTTTGTTTGGTGTATTATTATTCTTTTGTGGCTCTGTTTTTCCTAGTGTAGTACAAATTTGTCGGTAGGTTTTTGTTTAAATAGTGAATCGTTAATTTTGGGCGACACATCAAATTGCGACAAAATTTTACACCTTTTTGACAAAAAAAAATGTATTTTTCCGCTTCTGGATGTTGTTTTTAGGAAATTTTCAAAGCCATTTAGTTGGTCAAAGAGACTCCCACAGATT